ACGAGGACGTTGCGGAGGCGACGACCTCACTCGTGATCATACTGGCGATGACGGAACGTGACCAGAAGACGGGGCCGGGTGTGGCCGAAGGCGACCGGAGAGATTGGAGGGGTAACGCTATGGACGGCGTGCCCGACGCACGCGGCGAACGCGGATCCGCAGCGGTAGGGAGGCCACTGACGGAAGGGCGAAACCGGCGAGCGTGGCACGGCGCAGCGGACGTGTAGGGCCGATGACGACGGGGTCGTGGACGGTGAACACGAGGGCTGCGACTGCGGTGCGTGCGGAGGCACGGACGAACAGTACGGATGCTGTTCTTTGCGTACAACTTGAACGGAGTTGAGCAAATCGCATGGATCGGAGAAGACGCTTTCATGCGGCACGATGTGTATACAATCATCTTGGCTGCATGCATTAAAATATAGGATGGCTAGTGCATGGTGGTCGTCAGGCATATGCACAAGCTGCATGTTACAGTGCTGAGATTAATGCATGGGAGGCTAGATGCAAGCAGGTGCATAATTTGTGTATGAGCGTGGTGCGGCAAGCTATTTGCTGAGAGGAAGTTGGTCGTGAGGGAAACGCAACAGAGGTCTAGGCGGACACGGTGGCTGACTTGTATCTATTTTTGTGGCCATTAGAGTCAAGTTGTGCACTCGGATTGCATAAGTCCATCAGAGTCAGACTCGGTTGTTTGGAATTCAGTTTGACTGGGACTTTCTTGGGCAATGGTAAAAGCTGGCTTGGGAAGATTCATTATGGCACAAAATTGGCAGAAATCGGCGCAAAATAGTGACTTGGCGAGAAGGCTCCTTGGGAACTCTGTAGAGATAGTCTCACGGTGACGAGGTTGCTCAGCAAGGTGGCGAGGTATGGCTCAGGAACAAGGAGTACGCGAGAGTGTTGGCCGGACCGAACCAGAAGCAGGACGGAGGTAGACCGGCCGTGTAGCAGATTGGTTGGACCGGTGCGGCAGTGGCAAACTGGTGGTTTGCTATGCGAGAAGTTCCGGGCAACAGCGGGACAAATATCGTTGAAGGGGTCGACGATACTGTTTGGCAGTACAGGATATATCCAGGATATGCGGGTTGGCATGATGGGGATATATGGAAATCTACGTCACTGAAGAGGAAGAGGGAAGACTATCTTGGTAATTCTTTGGATGATTCAAAGCAACGGTAATTTTCTCAAACTATCATGGAGCTCAAACTATCATGGAGCTCAGTCTACGGATGCGGGAAAGCGTGGATGTTGGATTTATTAGCTCGGTTCATAAGACGACAAGGAAGAAAGGGTTTAGCTCTTCAAGTCTGGTGAGTTTGATTTATTTATTTGGTGATGACGTGGGTTATCTGGCCATAGATTAGATCGAATCAAATCAAAGATGGAAGATGGAGGTGAACATGGTTTTCGAGGAGTTTATGATGTGTCCGCTAAGGAAGAATCCAATTTCGCTTGGCAAGACGACTGAGATGACAAGAGAGAAAGTGGAGCACTGTTGCAGGTGGAATCAAGAGGAAGAAATTATGGGGATAGCGGAGTCTCTTGAAGATGGTGGGTCTGGCGTAGACTCGTCGGGTGGCTTACGGTGAAGCTGCAAAGAAGACAACCCAAGTCTGGAGGACAGATGGATTGGCATGGTGATTCTACTACTTCTAGGTGGCGTATATACACCAAGGTGGAGTTTGTTAGAATAGGTGTCGAATATACTAGTTATACTTGGTTACAGTTGGACTTGGAGTTGTAATAGGTGTTAGGGGTAGAGTTAGAGTCGGACTCTATAACCCGGCATCTCTCTTAAATAGAGAGGGGGCACCACAATGTAACTATGGCGACTACAATGTAGCGTAAACACGCAGGAAGATGATGGCGGCATGGCCATGGACTCGTAGTGACTAGGAGCTATATTGGTTGGGGAGGAGCGCCCATAATCAGAGCCCTGGGGATGTAGGCTTTGGCTGAACCTCGTTAACAAATATCGTGTGTTCCTGTGTCATCATCTGGCGTGTCTTGGGTGATCAATGACTGAAGCGATCAGGAAGGTTAGTCGTCGTTCCGCTATATCGACTAGCTTTTATAACACTCCCTCCACGGCTACTCTTGTTTATTGTGACAATGTCAGCGCAGTTTACCTCTCCACCAATCCCGTGCAGCATCAATGGACCAAGTATGTTGAGATCGATCTTCACTTTGTTCGTGATCGTGTTGCCGCCGGAGCTGTGCGAGTTCTTCACGTGCCCACAACGTCACAATTTGCTGATATCTTCACCAAGGGACTGCCTACGACTGTGTTCTCAGAATCTCGGTCCAGTCTCAACGTCCGTCAGGCCGACGCTGTGACTGCAGGGGGGTGTTAGCGTATCTTATCTATTTGGCATGTATTCATGTTTCCCTTTTAGCCACACCTCCAAATATCTCTCCCGGTTTTGTTTCTATAAATCGGTTGAGTAGATTCAGGAAGGTTGTGTGCCTATATGTACTCCGTATCAGTATCATTACGATTATCGTGTTGAGTCCTATCGTCTCACATCTCTCACATCCGCATCGCAGTGTATGCCCGTTTCACCCTCTGAATCGGAATCTCTCTCACCCAGTCACCACACACGCGGGCCGGCGGGCGCACGCAGGAGTTTCGATTCGAAGATGGCGGTGCCGGTCGACGTCGCGGATGCTGGAGGCGGCGGCGGCGGCGGCGGCGGAGGAAGAGGAGGAGGAGGAGGAGGAGGTGATAGACTCGACGGAGATTAGATCGCGCGGAAGCTGGCCGACGTACTTGCGGGGATGCGCACACGAGCGGCGACGGTCCTTGCTAAAAGCGCGACGCTCGCCGAGGCCGCCGCGCTGCTCCGCCTCCGCGAGGACATCGACGCCACCGACACCCTGCGTTTACCGTCGCCCGTGACCCAGATTACCGCGACACCCGGCCGCCCTCGCCGCGGCTGCGACGAAGCTGCTTGTTGTCGCCCGCGCGTTTCTCCGGAGCGCCGGTGCTAGTCCCGGGGTCGGTCGGTGAAGCCACGTAGCTCGTCATCAGCGGGTACGATACGAGATCCCGTCGCGGGCCGCGACCTCGGCATCGGCATGCCATCCAACCGGGCGAGGGGACGTGGCTTGGTGTGGACTGGAGCGCCGCTGCGCCACGGCCACGTGGAGCGCGCGAGGGAGGCTTGGGAGATCGAGGAGATCGTGCGCGCCGCCGTCGCAGACATGGACGCGGCGCTGGAGGCCATTCGGTTCGGCAGATACGCCACGCCGTCTGTCTCGCCACCGAGGAGAAGATCGTGCGCCGTGCGCGACGCCATTGACGATGCCGCTCCTCCGTGAGTGACGCGCGAGCGCGAGATCCGGGCATCCAGCCTTTTGATCGATGATCCTACAACACAGCGCATCGATGATCCTTCTGACACTCTCTTCTCTGCCCTGTTCTCGGTTTCTATTAATTCTGCAGGCCGGTTTTTGCTTGGGCGTTTATTTATTTTTTACTCGTCTTTCTGACAGCGATTGATCCGAGTTTTTAGTTTGTATTTAGACCGATGGTGATACTTTTGCAAAGTGGATTTTCTTAGATGTTGTTTTGTCATGATCTAGTACCTGAACTACATTGAGCTTGGTTTGGTTGAGCTCAGTGTTAGTCTGGAATTTTTGTCAGGTATTGGAACAGGATGAATTCACATTTGTCTCTGCTTTCTCCAGCTTTAATTTCTCCATGCTGCTTTTGTTCTGAATATACATCTGCATCATCTGGTGATAGTTGTTGCCTTGTATATTTAGTTTGCTGAATGCTGCTACTAACTGGTAGTCATGGTATTCTTACTCTACTCCGTGGAACAGATCGTAGATAGTACTCCCTCCGTTAGTGTTATAAGGTATTTTGATTTTGGTTAAAGTCAAACTATTTTAAATTTGGCTAAGTTTATAGATAAATATAGTAATATTTATAATATTAAATTAGTTTCATCAAATCAATAATTAAATATATTTTATAATAAATTTGTCTTGGGTTAAAAATGTTACTACAATTTTCTACAAACTTCATCTAACTTAAAGCAATTTGACTTTGAAAGTCAAAACATTCTATAACCTGAAATGAAGGGAATATAAGACAATAGACCAAGTTTTGATTTTATTAAGTCAAACTTGTATAAAAGTTCTCAGTAAGTTCAACTCTTACGATACTACTAAATTAGTCCAATTAAATATAGCATTGAACATATTTTTTTAATAGCATGTTTATCTGGTGTCGAAAATATTGACATGTTTTTCTATAAACCTAATCTAAAGTTTGTCTTACAAAACATCAAAGTACTCTTGTAGTAATTATCGGGCCAGATATCAGTGACTTCACGTGACAAGGCACCAAGCAGAGCAGTCGCAAGTTCGCAACACGCGAGAGGGAGACGGAGCGCGCGCTGGGGAGCAGCAAGCAAGCGAACGACCATCCCATCCCTGTCGAGCTTGGCTTAGGTGACGGTTGCAACGCTATCTGCTGGACTAGCATGACTTCAGGATTTACTAATGCTAGTTGGATTCGATGCTATCACAGCTTGTCCATCCCTGTCGTGCCCAGCAAAATGTCAATCAAAATAACCTGTTCTTTATTCCTATTTTCCCAATTTCTATCCTATTGTTTTTCATACACACGTTTATCAAACTGCTAAATGATATTTTCTTTTTTTTAGAAAAAAAATCCATAGGAATGTTGCTTTAGAAAATCATATTGATTAATTTTCAAGTTTTCTTTGCTAATGCTTAATTAATCCTATGCTAATTCACTGTTCTGTTTTATACGCTTGAAGGATTAGTTCCCAATTCTATAACTAACACAGCTGTGAACAAATTCTTTGTATGAAAGTATGTTTATTGACATGCAATGCTATGTACGAAAGTATGGCATTCTGCAATTTCAGTAAAGGGCCAAACACAGCTGTGAACAAATTCAAGCATAACTATTTTTTTTTTGCACTAATGCGTGCTTAAATCACTAAACAGAACTCTACATGAGCCAAAAAAAAAAGGATATATAGCGATATGCTTTTTTAGATGGGTTTGCTACCTGCAAATTTCAGTATCCATTATGTCATTTTATTTGTATATAAAAGTACTAGGGCTGATCTGTTCTACAACATAACAAACAGTGCATAGTTGGTTGTAATTCCAACAATCTGTGAGACTAACATGCAGTTTTACAGATCGGTGGTTCAATTTCTGAACCAAACAACGATTATTTATTGTCCTATAAGCCGGAATCCTCCCAAATCATCAATTCAAGATTCCTCCCTTCAGCCATGTGATCAAATAGATCAAACGCGTCCTCTCAGTTATCCATGGAGTCAGCCACACCTACATAAGATGAGCATGATCAAACAAACCGACAGAAATTTGAAGAAAAGATGCCAACATGTTCCAATGACCAAAGTTATAACTTATACAGAATACCGCATCTTGTCTTCCACATATCAATAAAGCTTCCACTGTCTAAAATTTGGAATAAACTACCACATACTATCTCACAAATTCATCGCATCAAATTACTCAAATTCAAATTGTTGGCAAAACGAGGACATATTGTTTGGTCTCTCATTGTCCACCCTTGATTGGCTTGATTTTGGTTTTGCGCTATGTGAACAAGGATTTCCTTGCTGTTTCTTTAAAAAATGAAGGATACTAAGGAGGAACTCAGCATCAAATTAATATAAAATAAATAGGCACCCAAGTGAATCCAGTAGGACTTGATGGTGGGGATGTACACCCACATACCCCAAGTGAGCGTAGGTTCATTCAATAAGTATGAATGATACTAAGGAGGATCTTAGTATCACATAAATAAAGAAAATAGGCACCTCACTTCCTATTTTCCTTGCTGTTGATACCCTGGCAACGATTCCCCCTTACCCAGCAGTAAAACTAGGCAAAGCTAGCCAAAGATATACCTTAGAGTAGAGTAGTAGTTCTCAAAATATCAATGGGAATATTCTACACGCGCTTTAACTTAGGAGACATATAAATCTAAAGAGTTAACTGTGATGAATGAAACTTTTCAGAGAAAATAATAGCGAAACCAAGAAAAAGAGAGAAAAAGCTATTAACACAACATTAAGTAAATCAATCGCATGAATCATATTGTACAGACACATATACCTTTCACTATGCCCAAGGAAAGCAAGAGGTCATGCAGAAATGGAACCAAATGGCATAGACTTATGCCTCCTCTTGGGATCCACAAAGACACCCCATAAGTAGCTCTCTCCATCAATCCCTGTTACCATGGTAGATATTAAAACCTCGCTATCAGTCTGTAATTACATTTTATCTTTTTAAACCAAAATATATTATTTTTGCAGACTCACAATAAAAGTTAGTTGAGCACAAAAGTATGAGAAATTAATTACAAGGATGAATTATTTTGTTTTGCTGTAGAGGTAGAAATCATAATAGAGGGTAAAAAACTAACACTGGGAATCAGGTGGAAGCACTTCTGAGGAATATATCAGCAACTTTATATTGTTGATATATGCCCTCATAACAAAATTGCAGCTCGTCTCCATGACATGAGATTGACTCTTTCCATTCCTAAAAATATGAGAAATAAATGCATCAACATTCATATATGTATTGACAAGAAAGGAAGAACATGAAACAGCATATAAACACCAAGTATTTGTCAATGGAACCAGTATAAACCCTACCGGTCAAGTTCAGTGGAGAAGAAGAACAGGCCAATGTCTTCATAAACTGGTGGATTTATCTCAAAAGATTTTGGCCATTCATCCATTCGAGGCAATATATCCAACTCTATTATACTAGGCATGCTCTTGATGACATTGAGAACTTTAGACGACACTTTTGATGGGCAGTAAGCTTTAAAATCAGCAGGATTACAGTTTGATCCATTGGAGACAAGAAAGCATCCCCTAAGAGCACAAGAAAATCAGAAACTTTCACTCTATTATGTATAATTAAATCATCTCTAGTAAAGTAAATTCATTATATGAGGTAAAATTCCTATGCAAAAGAAATAGCAGTTAAACAAATGAAATCAATGCTGCACAAGGTAATAAGAGATGAAAAACATTTAAAGTACCTAAATTATAAAAACCTAAGACAGAGGATAACATAGTAAGATAAGCTCTTACTGAAACAATCAACTTGACACAGTGATTAATTGTAAGTTACACCCATGTAACATAAATCATCCATTATATTCAAGGACCTAGATGTTTAACATGGTAGCATGCCACCTCGTAGAGTAATAAAAAGTCACACTGACTACTAAATGGGCATTAGTGTTTTTTTGTCTTCAGGCAGCTAGCCTAGAAGGAAATAGTGAATATAAAATGACTACTGAATTATGCGATATTGTCATTTATCCAATTTTGTTTGTGATCCTTAAGTTCTGACATGAATATAGTCTCCTTTTTTCTTTCCTGAACAAGCAGTAGAGAAAACACAGGGAAGAGAAAAGGAACCCCAGCCCTAAACTCAAACCAGTCTTACAATTACAAAAGCCTCAGAACGACCCCCTTACTCGGTAGGGACTAGCGGCCTACTGAGCAAATACCGGAGCTTAGAAGCTCCAACCAAGCACAAAAGGGCACTTTCATTTGCTACTGCTTGTACTACAGACATCACACTAGGACTTATGCCATCAAACACACTACCATTCCTATGCTCCCAGATCTCCAAAGCCACAAGTATAACAAATGAATTGAAATCTTTCTTTAAGTCCTTTTCAACATCTCTCACTACCCTGAACCACCAGCTAAAGAAGCGATTTGCGTCTTGGCTCAGCACAATGGAAGAAGACAGTCCGAACCTTTGAAGGATCAATGACCGAACTTGCCGGGTGTAAACACACAGAATCAATGACTTATAGACGCATTACTGATACTTGTTTTTCTTTACCTTATGGGATTACGGGAGCTATTGTCTCCGTGTTTCTTTTACTTTTGAGAAGATTACAGATGCCAATTTGGAAAGAATGGTCAGTTGACAATATTTCAACCATACAATATTCCTGCTTACTCATACAATGATATGTAGTTAATTACACTCCTGAATAGCTGATAAATTTTCAATTTACCCAAAACTAACATCAACAACCAATAACCTTGAAATTGTAGGTCTTACTTCAAAAGAGGTAGTGGTGCACCTCTCAAACAAATGGAGTGAGAAACGAAGGAGTGTTCATCTGCATGGGCATGTTTCACATGCTCATGCCTAGAGAAAATAAGAGATAGGCTTGCATAAAAAAAAGGTGCAATATAACTCAATTTTGTTACAGCATTAAGGGGTACAGAGTGAAAATATTACCCTAATTACACCCTTGATTTCCTTTGTAAACTTTCATCGTGAAATTACAATGAAAATGGTCATTTATTGTGCAACTATGAATGAAACTGTACATTATGTCCAATAGATCAATAACTAATTCTGACATTTTTGAATTATGTGGGTCATGTGGATCTTTTGCCAATCTTACAGCAAAGAATAAATCAGTCCCATTGGGGTATAGCTAGCTGAACCGAAGCTGTTCATTTGTTATCTTAGGTATAAACATATATCAAAGTTGACTATGCAGATGCGATTTTTAGTTCCAGAAAAAAGAAAACCATTGTGAATCTTACTCTGAAAATGGTGAATACAGACCTACCATACATATATGGTATATATACATAAGAAAAGAAACTACACAGACAGTAGCATGCAACCACATAAAACACCCATACTATTCAATTATTATATTTCAAAAGGTATAACTCCACATCTGCAATTTGGTGAGGAAAGAAATTGCTGTAGTAAACTGTTTAATTTCTCGTCAATGTCAACTTGATACATGCTAAATACTACCAATAGTAGATGCAGATCTGCGGCAGACCTGCAGTCCAGTAATGACTGAATGTGCGCGTAATGTAGGTCATCAGAGTAACAGTCAATGAAAATGGAATCACTGGCTCTACATGTGCACCTATGCAAAGTTTTGTAAAGCGGTAGGGTAGTAAGTGAGTGACCACACTATGGGAACCACAACAGAAGCTCAGTTCACATTTTAACCAGAACAAAGGTAAAGATTGCTGAAATAAAATAATTACAAACAAATATAGCATGTTTTACTCACGTCCAACAAATTTCTGGTGGAGGTTGTCTTGCATATTCCACACTTGAATTAATGACCACCAGCATGCCTATATCATTGTCCGGACTCATTTCAGATCCACGTCCAATATCAGTACCTACTAGAGCAGGACAATAGACCATAATAAATAAATAACACATGAAAACTTGGTTTGAGATTTGAACAAAAATATATTAAGTTCAGAATTATGGTTTGAACTGCTAACAAAAAGAATATACTGTATAAAAAATTGTAATGTTAATCCATCAAGAAAATGCTTTTTATATGTGTAATACCTGTAACATTGGATCCACTCTTTTCTCTAGGATCATCCCGACTCTGGGGGTTCATTGTTACTTTATCTGCACTAACTACCTTCTTTTCCCTCTGCTCATTTTGAACCTGAAAGTCAATTTTTCCTCTAATTGCTCTGCTTCTATGACATGGACGAAGCATCTCACCTGTTTTCCATTGATTACGTTTTCTTGTAAATGTCATTTTCTGGTTGATGCAATAGCTTAATATTTCATAGATAAAGAAAAACTAGGTATATCAATATACCTGATTGTGCTTTCTGTTTCATGTTTATACCAGCAATCTCTGTCTGGTTCTGACTTGCACCATCACCTCGTTTCAGAAAAGGCCCTTGAGTGTCACTCCTACAGGGGGACTGCTGCCCATTTGGAAATTTCCGATGGAACTGGCTATAAGCACGATTGTCACTCCTACTAGATGACTGTTTCGCATTTGGAGGAGATGCAGGACGGACATGACTATTTGTACGTCGCACATGAAAATTTGACCTACAATTTGGTGGTCTCTCATTATTATTCAATAATGACACCTCTTCATAAGAAATGTATTTCACTTTGGCATTTTCAAACTTGTTTGGAATTTTCAGGCTATCTTGATGGACTCTATTCCTGATAGTTTGCCCACCTTCACATGAGCAGACAAGAATTATGATCTGCACTATTAACTCAAAAAATGAGATGGTTTGTATTATTTAAATGAGAAAAAAATATTACCTTGACTAGGAGTTTGGTCCCAATTGGACTTGTTTTGGCACTCACAACAACACCATTCATCAGGAACATCATATGTCACCACTGGGAAGCAATAACTTCAAAAGCAGATGGAAAATCTTTCAGTGATTTGAATATATGTTTAACAACCAACTGCAGGAGCTTCCCTAAATAACTTTAAAAGCTAATGGATAAAGACATGTTTTTTATGTTGGGTAAAAAAAATGAAAATGGTACATTCAGGACCAGCTATAAAATGTCCGTGTCACTTGCTCTATTAAAATAACCATACAAATTTCATATCAGATATTTCTGTTTCCCTTATGGGTCAGTTTTCTCTCCAAGCATTCTGACAAATAAACATGCTAGCAATGAATTGGTACATAGGTGTATATAGGCAGATGTCTATGTACAAGTCAATAAAGAGGAAAATTAGACAGTGTAGGAAAAGAAAGGATTACCAATGTTGATAGACATTGCACCGAATACATTTTGCCATTCTATCTTGGTCATGACCGCTGCCACATATCCCACAAACCATTTCATTCTGCAGTGTAAACAAAAATGTCATGTATGTCGCTACATATATTTTTGTTTTCACTTTTGCAATGTTACTGTCTTGTGGAGATATAAAACTGTAAATGTGAAATAAACATACACAAAAAAATTTAAAAAAATGGGATAAATATAAAAACACAACTCAATAAGCAAATAAAACAATTGACTTTGCCGTAGTAAATTAAATCCATAGAGCAAATAGCACAGCGTAAGTATAGTTTCAAGAAAGCGCCAGTATCTCTGTGGTCATGAAACGTAAAGCATTGGGGCGCAAATAAAAAAAAAAACAAATGATAAAACAAAGCTGAACAACCTGTTTTTTTTTTTCAAAACTTGTAAGTAACTAAAGCTACTAAACTCCGAAAGACTACTCTGCATGTCCACAAAAGAAATGGACGATAAATGGATCATCCAGAAACTGAAAATGTTGGAAGATTGAATGCACAAACAGAAGTTCATTTCACCCATATACCATGTTACCAAGAAAAAAAAGAGGCTTCTTTTGAGGTCATCCTAAGTTGACTTGAAGTGAAGAGGGACTTTTTAGGGAGATGCCGAAATAGATGGCCATGGTTTAGCGTGTTTCTAAGCTAATGGAGGACAAGATGCAAAATCACCTTATAAATTACAATTTGTCACAGCAACAAAGATCGCACCTCATGCCAAAATGCAAAAGTGCCAACATGTGCAGCTAAATATGCAAGTGCCAAAATGTTTGGAAGCGCTAAAAGGAGTCGTAAGCTGTGCACTAAATGCTACAACTGCCAAGTTCCCATTGTTCTTCTGCTGGTTCACCAGCGGCGGATCTAACATGGGACAATGGGGGTTCAGTTGAACCCCCCAAACCTTCTTGGGAACCATCAAACTGTTACTAGCATTAAGGCTAAGGCAAATTTGTAGAACAAGAAGCTAGGGCAAACGCAAATTAAAGAAAAAGTGCGTGGGTAGAGAAAGAGAGAGAGAGAGAGAGAGAGATGGGAAAGAGGATGTGCGTAACGGATGCGGCGGAAGCAGCAGGACGAGCGACGGCGACCATGCTCGCGCGATGGATGGGGATCGGCGGTGGCGGAGGATGTGGTCACTAGGATGGATGGCGCGGAAGCAGCAGCCGAAAGCAGCAAGAAGGAGGAAGCCCTACTCGCTACTCGCGGGATGGATGGGGATCGGCGGAGGCGGGCAAGGGCAAAACTCACGCACGATAGAGCGCGTCAAAATGGCAGAGGGTAAATTAGTAATTTCGCCTACCCCTTCTGCTCCCATTTTCCAAAGAATGATGAACGTTTGAGACGGTGGATTTTTATTTTACTTCTTCTCTAGGGTTGAGATGGTGAATAAATAATTGGTATATTTGGGCACCGTCGGATTAGGTATGGCTCACCAAATGGGACGTGCTGTGTTGGCCCCACGTGCTGAGTCTAGAGCCCATGTACGATCCAGTGAGATGTCAGGTCATGTTGTGTTGGTCTAGCACGATTAGGTTGTGGGCTGTGTGGAGGCCGGTTAACCCAAATTTGATATATACCAAGAAAAAAAAATTGCAAATATAGTAGCGAGGTTCTCCGCTCACCGGCAGGGCCGGCCCTGGCCCTATGCAGCCGAGGCGACCGCCGGGGGCCCATGATGGTGGGGGGCCAACTCTAAAAATTTAAAATCCTTCGATGAAGTAGATCTTTGGTCGCACTGCAAGATTTTTGCGAAAACATTTAGGGCCATAGGATTCAAATCCTATAGGAAACTATCCTATTTGGCCCTTTGATTCAAAGGATTGAAGTTCTCCAAATCCTATGAAATTCCTATGGAATGGCACATTGCATGTGGATTTTGGAGGAAATTTAGCAAGAGCTCCAACCTCTTGGAAAATTTCCTTTGAGTCTATCTCTCTCATCCGATTCCTGTGTTTTTCCTGCGCTCCAATCAAACGACCATTCTGTGTTTTTCATGTGTTTTGTAATCCTCTGTTTTACACTTCAATTCCTACCAGAATCCTGTGTTTTTCCTATTCCTCTGTTTTTTCTACCCTGCGATTCAAAGGGGCCCTTACTCATGAGAACTCATCCGATGTTTAGATCAATGATTTTTAGTCAGAATCTTCGATGTCCGCGCCTGAGATTCTGAAGTCTGTTATGGATACAGATTGCTATCCAAATGTTTCAGTTGCCTATCGAATTCTCTTAACTGTACCTATGACGGTAGCTTCAGCTGAAAGAAGTTTATCAAAATTGAGGTTGTTGAAGAACTATTTGAGATCAACTATGTCGCAAGAAAGGTTAAATGGCTTGGTTACGTGCTCTATCGAGAATGATATCTTGGACACTATTGATCTTAATACCGTTCTTGATGATTTTGCATCAAGAAATATCCAAAGAAGTATCTTTTCATAAGAAGCAATGAATATGATGGGGTTCTATTTTTCACTAAGGTAATGATATTAGTTCTAAGGTATTATTTTGGTCGACTTTATTTCTCAATAATTACTAAACATGTTAAATTTAATATATGGATGTATTTATTTTCGTTTTGCAAGTAAAATTAGCGTCTATATATATCACAAAATTTTTTATATAGTTTAGAGAGCCCATCACGATAAGTTCGCCTAGGGCCCTCAAAATCATAGGACCGGCCCTGCTCACCGGTAGCACATTCATCTTCCTCCTCATCAAGCATTGTTTTGGCCCTTCACTTCCTACTTCCTTTGCCCTGAGTCAGTGAGCCCACAGTGACCGCCATGCTTAGTGGTTGTGCTCACGAATGGGATTGGCCACACAACGACGTTACTGTGTAGGCCTACGTCGACGAGCATCCTCCATCACTTCCTCTACCCTGAGGCACTGGCTTCCTCGATTTTCAGTTCTCCTTTCCTCCTGGCTCCTGCTCGGATGGCAGTTGCTTGATTGGCGGTTGTTCGTCTGTCATCGGTCGCCATCCTGTCTCACAGGCCAAGCTATGTGCTTTTCGTGGACCATATCGTGCTGGCTTACTACATGCAATTGTTGTGCTGGCACGCCGGGTCGGGTAGCAACCCAAGCATCACGTGGCTAGACGGGTCGTGCCAGCACGACCCTCAGCTAAACAGACCGTGTTGTTCCTGAGCTGTGAACCACATGTGCTTGCCCGGGCGGACAAGAAGAATCCAACCCATTTGACAACCTATATGAGGATTTGGCAAACTCATAGTCATTCTTATGTTTCTACGGATGAGATCAATTAAGACACCTCTTTCACACCAAATTAATTTGATTAGAGTTGAATTAAAGGAGAACTATTTTTTAAAGATGTTCCCTTCCTCAATAGTGATTACACTCACACCAACACTAAACAAATAACACACTCTTTTCCAAAAATAACATGCAAACAGAACTTTCAGATCGACCTTTTCTATATTTGCCAATAAATGATGAGCTACAAAAGGATTTGTTTTTTTCGTGTCAAAACTTATTACTCTTTTTTTCCATTTGAAAGAGTGGCATTGGATGTCCAATATCTTGATCGAAGTATGGAGGTCAAAATAAATAGAATAATGATGAATGGAGAAAATGAGAAAATCCTTTAGCTCGTTAAGGGGCGGATGTAACCAAGTGGATTGTGATTCCACCATGTGCGGGTTCAATTTCTTATTAGATCAATTTCAAGTAGCATTGTATGAGACACAATTAATTTCAATATGCAGAACGAGGATTAACTGATCTGAGATTATTTTTGCAACTACACCGGGGTTGTGTTCGGAGCGAGGGTTCCCATGCAAAACAAAGCAGTGTTTAGCGCATGATTAATTAAGTATTAGCTAAAATAAATTTGAAAAAGGATTAATATGATTTTTAAGTAACTTTTATATACAATTTTTTTGCAAAAATGCACTGTTTAGCAGTTTGAAAAGTGTTCGCACAGAAAACAAGGGAGGTGAGTTGGGAAAGTAGAGATAAGACCTCAGGGCTCCTTTGAAATGGAGGATTAGCAAAGGAATTTTGGAGGATTCATTTTCCTAAGGATTTTTTTCTATAGAGCCCTTTGATTCATAGGAAGAGGATAGGAAAACTTCCATAGGATTGCATTCCTATGATCAATTCCATAGGAAAATAAGCAAGAGGTTAGACCTCTTGTGAAACTTTCCTTTGTTGAGTGTATCCTGTGATGTAATCAAAGGATCTTCTCTCCATTTTCTGTGTTTTCAATTCCTGTAGGATTGGAAAAACATACAACTTCAATTCCTACGTTTTTCCTATTCCTGTGTTTTTCCTATCCTGCGTTTCAAAGGGGCCCTGAGGGGATCCACACCACATAAGGAGTAGGAGTTGACACCGAGCAGACAGGGAAATATCCTCGAAGCACCTATCACGACGATTTTTCTAATCCTTCTTAGGCAATATTTGCTACTTGGAAATATGAGATATTTATATCTTTTCTAACCTTTTATAATTGTTTTTCCTTTTTTACTTATATGCTATTTAAAATAATATTTTTTAGATAATTATTTTTAACCCAAAACAAACATATTACCATACTTAAAATAAGTCTATTTTGCCTCCCTCATCTCTTTGGGCCACCCGCCGAAGGGCTACGGCCTACGGGAACGGGGGATGTCGGATCGCGGTTGTGCTGATCATTGGACCGTGCGTGCCAGGCCGGCATGTCGTGCCGAGGAAGAGGCTTAGGCACGGCCCAACAGTCGGGTTGGGCCGGCACGAGCTCGACAACAGTTGAGCCGTGTCGTGCCTAGGCCGGGCCAAATCTCCGTGTTGTGGGCCTTTTGGCCAACTATAGAGCACACCGTCCAATCAATCTCATCACCTGGATCCAATTCATGCTTGGAACATGTCTTGTTGTTTGCGAAATCACCCTTAATCTGTCAAATCATCTCGCTGATGCCAAAATACATCTTCCCACCTGACGAATCTAACCTCCATAGTACATTCTATGCATGACCTATGTGCTAGGCTCCATCCTACTAGCAGACTTGTACCTAGCACCTTCTTAACACAGACTTCATCAACCAACGGAACAAAGAAGACAAGGAGAATAAATAAGGATAGAGATGTACCTGGACCCCATGATGCTGAGCGCGTATAGGATTTGACTCGGTGTTCCTCTTGCTCCAAGGAGACCACGCCATGGCAAGATAGGTAAGGAAGAAACAACACGCTACGAAAGGCAAGCAAGCGCCACCGCCACTGCCACGCGAAGAGAAAGAGGAGTGCCTAGGGAAGGAAGAAGGAGGGGGGAGGGTGTTGGAAGCTAGGGATTTAGGGTTTTTATAACCCAAGTAGTGGACCACCGTGACCATGGGCCCACCGATAGATGAGAGGCTGGGGATTTACGGATTTTGTATCAAAATGGCAGACCTCCTATAGCACCATAAACAGATGCCTAAAAGTCCATTCCGAAATTCTTTCTTTAGGATTCCTAATCATATTTTTAGGTGTGAATAAATTCCCGTCGCCAACATATATCTAAAAATTGACTTCCAATAATAAAAAGTAGGTCCACATTATCAACACAAGAAACAAAAATCGCTCTGCACCTCCTCCCAAGCAGACATTCCATTGCACACCTCGTTCTTTCCACATTCCGTGTGTGCTATTGGGAGCCAGCGCCCTCCCCTCCTACTAGTGGAGGTCGAGAAAGACGAGGAAGGGGATTTCAATTTTCGGGCACTGACCTGAATGCGTGTGCGATCGAGCACACATTAGCAACCCCCACGTTGAGGTGTGCTCTCTTGTTTCGCAAACTTCAAAACTTCCAAAATGCCATTAAAAATATGATGAGCATCCTTGTGCATGGCTCTTTTATTTTTTTCATATGGAAAAGAATGAAGGCATAGCTCTAGCTGTTGTCACAGAGACTTTTCTAGAAAATCATTTATTTTTCGTGACTTATATATTACAAAATCCTATAGAGATTAACCACAGACTTTGGAGAGCATTTTACATGCCTAGCCATACATTTGTCATTGGGCATTTGTTTCTAATTCATTTTAAAACAACTTTATCTTGATTTCTTCTTGGTTGAAACAATGTCCTGTTGTGATTGATTTGTCCATACTTTGGTTTGATGGATGAGCATTTCTGGACTAGAGTTAGTTTAGTTTTACTTTTCCTATTCCTATATAAAAATAGACATTACAAAATTGTGAAAAGAAAAAACTACAACAACAAAAAGTTAAAGGAGTGAAGACATCAGTAAATGCACTTTGGGACAATATCCTAGCTACCAGCCTACCACCGTACCACTCATACTCCGTAACTCCATTAAAGGCTTGTTTAGTTGGCAAAAAATTTTGTCCCTATATATCACATCAGATATACGAACATATATTTGAAGTATTAAGACCATGTTTAGATCCTATCCAAAAACTTTACACCCTATCACATCGAACGTTTGAACACCTGCATGAAGTATTAAATATAGGCTAAAAAAATAACTAATTGCACATATTGCGACTAATTTACAAGATGAATCTTTTAAGCCTAATTGCTCCATGATTTGATAATATGGTGCTACAGTAAACATTTGCTAATGACGGATTAATTATGCTTAATAAATTCGTCTCGCGGTTTACTAATGGATTCTGTAATTAGTTTTTTATTAGTGTCCGAACACCCCATACGACACCATATATAATACCCGATGTGACACGCCAAAACTTTCCACCCCTGAATCTAAACACCCCCTAAATGTAGTCTAATAACAAAACAAATTATATATTCCGTCAGGAAACCGCGAGATGAATTTATTAAGCCTAATTAATCCGTTATTAATAAATGTTTACTGTAGCACCACATGGCGTAATTAGGCTTAAAAGATTCGTCTCGTAATTTCTTGGTGAACTGTGTAATTGGTTTTTTTTACATTTAATACTCCATGCATGTGTTCAAACATTTGATGTGACAGCGTGAAAATTTTTGTTTGGGAACTAAACAACCCTAATACTCCATAGAGAAAGGTGACACATACTACTCTTTCCAAGAAAAATTAATCCTAGCTATGAATCTAAACACGTAAGTATCCAGATTCACAGCTAGGATTGAATTTTCATGGGACGAATGGGTATATGCGTGCTCAATATCGGAGCTGAAGAGGTATTGAGGGGTGCACCACTTCGCTATGCATATAGCGGGATAAAAAAATATTTAAAGCAAATCACCATATAACACAATCAATTTAACTGTTCATAATTACATCAACAAATAAGAAGCGATAATAAAATGCTTACCAAATTGTGACAAAAAGTTAATATCATATACACTCAAATCATCAGCCGACTTGAGTGTACTCAAATATGTGCAACATACTCCCCTCGCCCCATTAAAAAAAGAATTTAAAATCGGACGTGACATATCATAGTACTACAAATCTGAACGAATGTATGCCCAAATTCATCCATCTAGAATCGTAGTATTAAGATATGTCACATTCGATACTAGATTGTTTTTTTATGTGACGAGGGAGTAAAAGAGAGTAAAATCTACTAGAACAGGAGCAGCTAACAAGAGCTAAAACCTAGGACGTCTTGTGGCCTGCCAGATCGTGACAAGTTCTTTTCTGATTACTTATCGTCTTACAAAATTAGATTACTTGCTTCATGTTTTAGAAAATACATTTTCTGAAAGAAAATCTTTTACTGTATTAGTTAGAACAATTATTTTAATTTAAGTTATTTGTTAATTTTATTTATAAAATATTTAATTTATCCCTATGATAAAATAGATAATCTGTGCAACAATCAGTTCAACAATATGCGCAGACCAGTATTTCAAATTTTGGTTCATGGTCATGGCCATGAAGTGCTCAGTTTCATCATCAAAGCCAAGTCGCACGGAGCCACAGATTCATGGCCAACTTTACCATGTCCAGTCCATTCAGGATTCATTGCCAACTTTACCATGTCCAGTCCATTCCCTACTTGCTCGCTGTAGGCTGTAGCTGTCTTCCATTTCTGCCAGCCATGGAAAAAGATGCAAAACTATCGTGCCTCACAACTCACATGCTACGCAGTTATAGTCCGTCCTGTTGAGTCGACTTTGCACCCATCCATGCTCTATATACTGACCATTTTTTCCCTACGGCCAGTGACTACCTGTTCATAGCCACGGTAGATATATTTCTATGCAGATAGATAGGAGGATGCATGTGAGCCTTTATCTCTTGCTTTAATTAATTCATTTTAAAAAACACAGAAATTTCTGACCTGCTATACTATCAAGACATTATTTGCAGATAGACATTGGCAAATGCCTTTTTACTCCTTATAGCCTTTTCTGAACTTTGAAATATATAGTACTTGTACTCTAGTACAGGCTGCGTTTGTCACCTACTCTTCTTCTTTTTTCAAGCGCACACTTTTCAAACTATTAAACAATGTGTTTTTTTTTTAAAAAGTTATATAAAAGTTGCTTTAAAAAGCTAATACTTTATTAATCACGCGCTTTAACATGACCGATTGGAGTGCCATGATTTCATTTTCTAAATTTTTTGGATATGTTCATTCATTGTAACTCTAAGTTTCATACATGGAAGTTGAATGTTTTTACTTAGATTTGATGGTGTTTCACCTTTTTACTTATTTGCCAGTGTTGCACTCTACTTCTGAAGATGGTTCATACTAAATATGTAACTAATTAGTGGTTGCTCTAGGAATTTTTCACTACATGATCATACTCCACGCTCCAAAATTTTATAATGCCATAATCTCAATATACATATACAAAATTTGTTCAATGTATGACACAAATATAGCAACAAATATCTTATAATATTACAAATCAACTGGAACTAACATTTGAGTCCAAAATTACAAAAATACAACATAAATAATTCAATTGGCCATACCTTTGAAGTGAATTTGGCCAAAATTGAGGGTGGTGCAGACCATCCCCTAGAACCGCCACTGCAACTAATGTTGCTTTGCTGTGCTGTAGTTTCTTATATATCTATATTTCCAAATGTTAACATTCAATTTTTGACGTTTCAATGGCAATTTTTTTACCATCCGATGGCCTTACACACCTAATAGTGTCCTGCACTTTGATAGGGGCTCACAACTTGGGCCTGCACACCTACTCCAGCCCAAGCCATCTTGAGGAGGGAACATCGCCGCGAAGCGCTACAGTGTATAACGCTAGCTCACATGGTTCTCTGCTCAAGGAAACAAAGCGCACGAGAACATGTGTGTCGGCAGGGCGTCTTCGGCCGGTGACCTGCAAGATGAAGCATTGATGCACAACAAATAAGAAGCTCAGGACTCAGGAGCATTAGCCAGATATGGCGTTCGTTGAGAAGCATTTGAAGAAGAGAATCCACAGCATGCAGAGGTAGGTGGTGTTTGAATCTCAAGATGAAGATGAAGAGAAAGATTAAGTCTTTCACGCAAAATGAAATAGTAATAACGTGTGATTAATTAAGTTTTAATTATTATAAACTTGAAAAATAAATTAATCTGATATTTTAGAGCAACTTTCATATAAAAATTTTTCACACGAAACATACCGTTTAGTAGTTTAAAAAGCGTGCTATAAATATCTAAAAGTTTTATTGGATAAAAGAACAGTACCGTACTCGATCCATCGAAGAAGAACCTAGACTCCGCTGGGCGCTAGCACGCACACGAAGCAAGCACTCAATATATCATTTGCGTTCTTTCGCGTACGTACGCCAGTGAGCACGTGAACCCACGCTTCTGCTACGGTGAGCCCGAGCTATTTCCCCATTATATTCACGCAGAAAATGGTGCTTCACACGAATATGGGGTTTGGGCGTTGGGATGTATGCACCAATAATCGTAAAGCAAATAATGTGGCTATCTATTGCCTCTGGGTGTAAAAAAAAAAATCTTTCCTGACTACACATATATAATACTATTTACGACCCTTGGCCTTCATCCACCCTTAAGGCCGGAACCTTTATTATTTCAAGGATCGAGAAAATGCAGTAGTTAAAAGGTGATTGAGAAGATCGAGAATTCTTCATAGGTACCAGATTTTTCAACCGGCACCGATGACAACGGTTTCAAAACCATCACCTATGGGATGTACGGTTTGGAAAAAAGGCCGGCTCAGCTTAATTCAAAGACGATGCTTCAAAGCCATCAAAATTAAATCAAAAAATAAAAAAAAGATTCAAATTCACATTAGAGAATCAACAACTTCATTTTACAGATCACAGAATCAAACATTTAACAACAATCGACCAGGTTAAAAACCAAATAAAAAAATGCACAAATCACAATGGAGAACTATGCCGCCGCCGTCACTTGCCGCCATCGAGTGCCTTCGAGCTGGGGGCTGCCAAATCTCGACGCTTTCGAGCTGGTGGAGCCCGAATCTGCCCTCCCCTCCCCCCGAGCCACCTGTAGGAGAGGGCACCACCGCTTCTGGCCACTCGGGAAACGAGTTAGGGTTGCTTGGAGACTAGACAACAGGTCGGAGGAGGCACCGGGGAGGGAGAGGGAGAGGAGTGTCGCACGCACGAGAGAGAGAGAGAGTTGAGGATGAGATATGTGTTCGAGGAATTGAGGATAATATATGTGTGGTCGGCTTCATCTCATTTTTTTTACTAGCTAAATACATACCGGCACCTGTTAGTGTCTTTATTTGTACCGATCATTTTAATAAACTGGTACATATATTATTGGTGCTGGTTTTTAAAAAACCCAGCACAAATAAAAATGTTATAGGTGTTGGTTTTAATTTTTAGCCTAAATTTGTCAGTTTTAAAATGTTTATGATCTCGGGTGGACGAAAAATACCTTGTAAATGCTGGTTTTGAATGAGGGGGCACCTATGGGGGCATTTCTTATTAGAGTTTCTGCAGGAGTGAAGAGTTAAAGGTAAGTTAGTGTTTTGCCATTATGGATTTGTTGGGAGCAGTTTAATTAGGGTAAACTTGAATGATTTTGTATTAATTTGCCTTATACATCACAATGTAAGGTTTGGCTGAAGTAGACTGATTTATCTGCATTCGCAGTGGCCAATTCACCTCCCGGGCAGCACGGGCACCTATGAGGGTGGCTGCCCGGGCTTCACAGTGATGATCCTTGATATCAAGAGGGGAGGGTAGGAGGTTGCAAGGTGGACGGGATCCTTACCATTGTGTTCTCCTGTATCCTCTACTACTCGCCAGTCCACACACTATCAAGACGATCAAGAGACGACGCATCAGTCTTTGTGGTTTTGGGGTATCGTCTCAGTCACCTCTACTCTAACATCTTATTACTACATCTGTCCTATATTGGATCAATTTCTATTAAAATTTGTAAAACAAAACAAAAATAAAATCATTTTGCCTACTCCATCCTCTTAGAGCAGGTAACAATAAACTTTCACGGACCGTCAATGAGGAAGTCAAGTCGATTACAGTACCGAGGCCTTGTTTAGTTGAGGAAATTTTTTAGGTTTGGTTGTCACATTGAATATACGGACACACATTTGAAGTATTAAACATAGTCTAATAACAAACAAATTATAGATTCCGCCAGGAAACTGTGAGATGAATTTATTAAGCCTAATTAATCCGTTATTAGCAAATATTTACTTAGCACCATATTGTCAAATCATGGCGCTATTAGGCTTAAAAGATTCTTCTCGCAATTTACACGTAATCTATGTAATTGGTTTTTTTCTGTATTTAATACTCCATATATGTGTCTAAATATTCGATGTGACAGCGTTAAAATTTTTGTTTTGAGAAGGGCCTGAGTTGGAAGGAATAGGGGAGAGAGAGAACGTGAGCCGGTGACTATCCTATCGCTCGGCTACAGCAAACCTTCTCAGATGAAGGCGTTGCTGAGGTCCGCGTGCGGAGTCGTCATCCTCCAGCTCATGTCCCGACGTCCCGTCATGGCCTTGAGCTCAGCTTGCTCCAGCCGGTGCACGATCTGATATGGTGGCCTCACCTACAGTCCTTCATCATCCGTACGTGAAGCTCGAGGTTGTCACTGGGGGTGGACTGCAGCAGCTCGAGCTCGAGGCCATGGCGCCAAAGACCTGGCTTGGGCGTGGCAGGTGATGCTGCGGGCTGGCGCAGCAGCCGCATACGTGGGCTGCTTGCTCCCGGCTGCTGCATGCTTGCGTTTATACAGGAAATCAAGGGGATGGAAGATGGGAGAGAACACAAAAGAAAGAAGTGGATAGTGCATGATGCGATGGAGGGGAAAGTGATTTCATCCAGGGTTCACAATTCTGACGAAAACCGATCGAATTTTACGAAATTTCGAGGTTTCAACGAGGCTCGAAAGTAGAAGCCATCAGAGATTTCGACGAGTTTCGTCCAAATTCAAATTTGAATTGATAAAAAAAGGAAAAATCAAATAAAATCTTATAAATAGTATGATATTCATAGAACCTATTGGGATATAATTTTTCGAACAAAATTGATGTATTCCGTGTATTTACTGAAATTTATAGTAGAAAAGAAAATAATAACGAATTAAAAAAAGGAAAAAAAATCAGTTTACATCCTTTTCTAGTTACCGATTGAAATTTCGATGATTTCGCTCGGAATTTCGCTAAAGCCGACCGGTTTTCACGAGCTTATCGGTAAACTCAGGGAACTTGTATTCAAATTTTGGTTTTTGAAATTCGTTCGGAATCTACCGGATTTCGTGAAAACCTTTGTTCCGCCAGAGCACGAAACGGAAGGCCATCTCGGAATCGTAAACCTTGAATTTCATCCCTCGAGGGGATATCCCCTTGTTTCGTGCATGTCACCTAAATAGTCTAAAAAATATTAAAAAAATAGCAACATAGATTAATATAAAATATATCACTTCACAAACATGCAAGTTTAAATTAAACTTCTACAAGTTGTAACAAAAATAACAAATATAGTTACGAATATGCGAGAACTATTTTCAGTTTAATTTGTTATTTTTGTTGCAACTTATAGAAGTTGAATTTGGTCTTGCATATTTATGGAGTGATATATTTTTGTATTAATATATGTTGTCAGTTTTTTTTTAATTTTTTTGATAGCTATTTAGATGACATGCAAATAATTAGGGGATGTCCCC